ATATAGTTTATGGAATGAAGTTTATTCTTCCCCATTTTTCCACAGTTTCTACATTTTTAAAAATAAACATGCATTACTTTTAGGATTCTAAAAGATATAAAAAGTGTTTTGTTTCTAATATGTATCGTCAATGAAAATTTTTAAAAAAATAATAAATGATCAGTCTTGCCCCTTTTATGAGTAAAAGGACATATATTTCTGAAAAGATCTCTGAATCTATACCAATATTTTCAAAAGCCCCCAATTTTTTATTCTCTTTAAGAGAGGCTTTTTTTGACCTCAGCTTGTCCCTCACTCTTTCTCCCTTAATACAGGCTGTTCCTGGTTGGAATGCTGACAATTGTCCCACAGCTCCAAAACACCTGTGAGGGCCGAGTGTGCTCAGCAGAAGAGTCACACTCTTTCTTACTGATCATTTCTATAAAAGTTTTCCGAGCCAAGGATCAGGAAATGAAGAAATGATTAGCTGTTATGGACACTTGAGTCCTTGGGGCTCCATAGCACCAAATGCCACTGGGCACACAACACTGCCTCCTTCGCCCCTAGAAGCTCATTAGTTCTGAAAATCAGAACTAGATCCAGGGTCATTGTGAACCAGAAGGCCTCCTCCCCCACAGAGGCCAAGCAATTTTAGAGAAGCACGAGGACTCTTGTTCTTTTCTAGGATGGTACAGACTATTCCATGTGTCTTGGACTCAAGAGAATTGGCTTGTTTTCTTCAGAGAAGACCTACGTACTTGGCATGAGAACAGGAAGTGAATTGATGTGCACAGGTCAACCTCGCCATGCCTGCTCTCCACAGCCTTTCCGCAGTACGCCCAGAGATGAATCTGAGCTGCTACTTGGTCCGGCTTCAGGGTGGGCAAGGCAGAGGACCAGGTCAGAGCTTGTCATGCCATCTGCTCTACGGCCTGAGACCCAGCAGGAGTCCTAGGCTCCCATTCAGTTCCCATCTCTGGAGCTCAAAGCTGTCAGCTGGAAGGCAGCTGTTCACTTTGGCAATTGGTTCTCCGAAGGTGAAAGGAAGCAGGTATACCCGTAGTTAGCGATGGAAGTGGGTGCCACACATCCAGCAGAGTCCCACCCAGTACCCTGAGAGCACTGTGACACTCAGGCAGGAAACGAAACCCACCTCATAAGACGTTCTGATGAGTCTGAAGATGTCTACCTCAGGGTAGGGCTCCACGTCATCACTGAGCAGGGAGTGGAGGTGAGGGATGGGAGGCAGTGTGCTGTCTTTGTTGGTCACACTGTCTAAATACCTGAACAAAGAAATGAATCAGAAGTCACCAGAGGCTAGTTAGGAATTCTCCCATTACAGTTCTCTGCCTACGTTCTACAAACTCAGCATTTTAGAAAAGACTAGACTTTCCTTAAGAACAGAATGAAATTCTTCTGGAGACGCAGTGCATGAAAATAAATCCTCAGCCACAGACAAAAGTTGGTGCTCTGATTTCCATCAAGCCCATTAAGACTCAGGAAACCAAGGAGAAAGACAGAGGGTGAATTCTAAGAAGAAACCAGAAGTGGTTTTCAAAGCGAGGCTTTGGGGACACCTTGGTGGCTCAGTCGGTTCAGCTCCTGACTCGTGATTTTGGCTCAGGCCATGATCTCAGGGTCATGAGATCAAGCCCTGAGGCTCCGCATGGAGTCTGCCTGTCCCTCTTTCTCTGCTCCTCCCTCTGCTTGCGTAAGCTCTCTCTCTCAAATAAATAAAATCTTTTAAAAACAATAACAGCGAAGTGAGGCTTTGTCCGTTACCTTCCCAAAACGGTCATGGCCTCCCCGTCGTCCTTGCAACTCAACAGCTTGTCCACGTTCGCATCCAGCACAGCCAGGGCCAACTGGAATATCACCTTGATTCCTTCATAGAAGAAACAGTCCACGACCACAACTGCACTCTCAAAGGGCATCACGCTGAGAAACAGCGTGAGGAACCAAGACAGGGAGATGGTAGAAATCACGCCCAGGTCCTGCATGCAGTCATACAGCTGGGGGACATAGTCTCGTGCTAGTTCCTCGAAGACACCCTGGTCCACCAGTGCGCCTGCAGCAGGGGCGGGCACAAAAGGCCACGGGTGAACCCACCACACCGTCTTTTTGAGGGACCCCACCAATCGGCCTGGTTAAGACAGTTGAGCTCCTAGCTGCCGCTAAGACAACTTGACTCTTTCTCTTGACAGTTCTGCTGCTACCCTGACACTAGTTACTATGTTACTAGACCAAGGTGTCAACACACAGCGGTCAGCAGATTGGTTCTGGGTGCTTCTCCTTCCAGTTTTCCTGCCCTGCTTCCCTACCACAAAAGGGCAATAACACAACCATAAGGGTTGTTGGAAAAGTCAGTTTAGAAAGATCTCATTGTGTGGTTAGGCATGAAACATATAGGACTCCATTTCTTGGCAAACTTATTTAAAAAATAAGTAGCTTTTCTGGATGAACTATCCCCACATATGAGTTTTGTGGGGTTTTTCTCTTTGTTTGTTTGTTTGTTTGAATTCATGTTTTTAAAACTGAAAAGCATTCCAGCAGTGCCTGGCTGGCTTGGTCGGTAAATATGAGACTGCTGATCTCGGGGCTTTAAGCTCGAGGCCCACGTTGAATGTAGAGATTACTTAAAAAAGAAAAAAATTCTAAAAAAAAAAAAAAGCATTCCAGTTGTACATACACACTCATGATCAACTTACTGATATTTCTGGAGAATTTTCCCAGTGAATCGTATTAGTGTGAAAAGGCTTAGAAATGAGCACAAGAGGGAAGCATAAAGCATACACTTTACTACTAGCAATAAAAAGCTTGTCCTGCTGAAATGGAATGTCTAACACTCAAGAGGATTATAAGGAGTAAGAGCGATACTTTGTTTAAATGCTTACAGTCATGGTTTGCCTTGCAATGAAATCAGTTCTGAAAAATACTGCAGGAACTTAGTTTGGGGTACATTTTTATATGCCCTTTTTTTTTTTTTTTTTTTACATACTTCTGCTGTCCACAGATTCCATCCGCTTCATGAAAACATTTTTTGTCAAATCTGACGAGTTTGGTACAGTTCCCAGTGCCATAGTGACACCTACACTGAGTGTTTTCTACAATAATTTCTCCAACAGTGATATATGTATATTCTCTTGAGCTCCATGGGGCTCCTTTATGTACAATCCATATGAATTCAAGCCCCCTCATTCCCATTTTGGGAAACTGGAGTAGTCTGAAACTCTTTTGGCTAAGGGTGACTGGAAACGGTGTTCTAGCCCGTATCCTGGCTCTGGAAACATCTTCGCGATGAGACGTGGGTTAACATGTTAACCACCTCCCCAACATACCGACAACTCTGGTGTTGTAGTAATCAGGAAGCATGCGCTCACACAGAGCCACCAGCAGCCAGAAGGCTTCCTCCTCTTTGGCATAAAGCAGCAGCACGGATGTGACAATATTCATGGCCTGAAGGCATGAAAAAGGGTGTCATCAAATAGATTTTAAATACATCAAACACAGGTTAACATAAGAAATTTTGTGAACCTAAAAAATCACTGAGTTAGTCTCACAGGGCCAGCAAACTTTTTCAGCAGAAGGCCAGATAATTAACACCTAAAGGATCTGCAAGGTCCACACGCATATTCGTCTAAATTTTGTTTGGTTTTTATAATTTAGAGCCCCTTAAAAATGTACCAACCGTTAGTCCTTGAGCCTGCAACTCTTGAATCTTGATGAATACCAATACTTACCAAAGACTGAGCCCTGACACACAGGCAAGCCCTCATTCAAAACCTTTGCCTGAAGGCTATCTGACCAAGCCTTTAACCCGCTACAATCTCAGTGTTTCTAACCCTTCATTCACAAGATAAACATTTCCTTTTTAATCTTCCATAATGGTTCCTATAACCCAGTACGCATGGCCTGGAGGCTCTCCTCTGAGAACAATAAAACCTTTCAAATTTGGAGTCTTCACCCACTATTTTCATCTGGATAAAGACGGCAGAGATAAGTAACAGGGATTTAAATTCTAAAGTAACCCACTTTATTAAAAGATATGATCACCTAGCTCATAACCGCTCAGGGCTCAACTACTTTAATAGTCCTCTTAATTAAAAAGAGAAAGATCAAAGGATAAATATGATTTCTATAATTGCAGAGGCCAACTAACTCCTGGACTTCATTTTGATCTTTTACAAACCAGTAATTGTCCGTGGGACTTCTACAGTATAAATACCAAAAAAAAAAAAAGGATTTTTGGTCTAATAGGCTTTTTCTTTCTTGTAAGTCATAATATTTTCCCAAGTGAAATCATTAATAAAATTCTGCTTGAGAATTAACCTGCCGATTCTAGTACATGATCACGGTCACCGTTAGCTCCTTAGTCATTCAGTCAAGTTAAGTTTATAACAGGCTCTGGACGAAGTACTGGGAGATAGGAAAGGGGGTAATATAGTGGTGAAAAGTCTCACAGGACTTAAATGCTGACGTCAGAGAGACAGAATAAAGATGTAAAGGTTAATCAGTTTGGGGGTGTATTTAAGTTAAGTGCTATCAAAGAGATTAAATAAAGTGGTATAGAAAGACCTGTACTGTGTTTGTGTGTGTGTGTGCGTGCAGAGGAATTAAGCATCCTTTAGCATTTATCTATCTACCTATCTAGCTTTCCTTCTATTTTTGTGTTCAACATTTAGTAAAAAATATGTATTTATAATATATTATAAATATACTACAATATATTTATATAATTATATTATACCATATATAATATATATCATAATATATATCCATCTTTCTGGATTTGGGAGACGTCTGAGGTATTTGTCAACATAGTTGACAAATCGCTAGCTGTGATTTCACATTTTTTTTGAGTACAGTTGATTCAAGTCTCTACCTTATGCTACATTCATCAAAAGCGTCCTGACAGCTACACTGATACACGGCTATCACAGTATCAATGACTATATTCCTTATGCTGTGTCTTCTATTCCCATCACTTATGGACTCCATTACTGAAGGCCTATATTTCCCACTAAAATATGGAACGCTTCCCATATTCGCATGTCATCCTTGCACAGGGGTCATGCTAATCTCTGTATTGTTGCAATTTTGGTACCCGTGCTGCTGAAGCGAGCACAAGCCTGCTTTAGCTTTTAGCTGGATGGTCCAAGAAGGCCTCTCTGAATATGTGGTCTTTAAGTCTAGAGTCACAGGATCTTGGAGCTTCCCTAATTGTGGTGGATGTATTAGTACAAGAGATAATTTTAGCTGCTTTGGGGGCAACATTTTTTGAACACCAATTAAGCATTTATTTTAATGGGTATTAAAGTATAATCATAGCATATAAAAGTTACATTCTCAAGTATGTTCTTGCTTAGAAGGCAGGGCAGAAGCACCGTGGAATTCAGAATCCAGAATTACAGGCCAGGTGCTCAGGCACACTGTCTTTTACCTTCGGGAGGGAAGAGAGGCAGCTCGGAGAGTAATCAGAAGCACCTTGAAGGTCACCCAGATATGAGGTGGTGGATCCGGAAAGGGTGTTCTTGTCTCCCAGCTCCTCCGCTCAGTGCTGGGGTCTCAACCCAGGGAGATTTTGCTCCCCAGGGGCTATCTGGCAATGTTTAAGGGCAGTTTGGCTGTCCCAACTAGGGAGTTTGTGGAGAGAGGTTATTAAATGTGTTACTAAACAGGAATGTTATTAAACATCCTCCAAAGCATGGGACAACCCCGAACAAAGAATTACCCAGACCACAAGGTCTCTAGTGCCAAGGTCAAGAAACTTAGGTGCAGGGATGGTTCTGTTAACCATTCCTCTTACTGACTTTGCTGGTTAACAAACAGTCCGAAAAAAAAAAAGAAAAAAAATCTAAACCACCTGTGTCATTTACCTGGCAATATCCTATGTTAGGATTTCGAAAAGCATAAGCTGTTAAGACTCTCCTTAGAGCAGCAATGCCCATTTCATTCTGGAAAGCTGGGTGTTCTGGAAGGGAGCGGTGTAAATCCCTCTCAATCTCCTCTGTGGCAAGATTATACTTCCCCATGGACTTCTCCACTAGGTCTTCGTAGTACCCGGGATGCGTGGCCTTCTCATTGATGGCACCTAGGAAATACCCAACAGATACAACATCCAAAGGGGCGGGCCCTGCCCTCGGTCACAAACACAGCTGACCAAGTGAACCTTTTCGTGTTCCTTACCGCACAAAGGACACCTGTGAGATAACGACAGCCCGCGGATGAGGTGGGCTGTTGCAACCGCGGCCAGTTTGGTAAATTTACTTGCGGCCTGCTGCCCTCCTTCAGCTCCACCATAAGCCAAATTAGAGGTCCGCAAGCTAAACATCTGTGTTTCACAGAACTTGATGATCCAGTGGCTACTTTAGGGAAGAAGAGGAAGGAACGCAAGTAAACCAAAGCATCCTCGTCTCAGCCAGAGCAGTTTTGCTGGTATTTTACTAGGGTTCTCCTTAAGATTTCCCTTGAAAAACAAAGTTCTGCCTCCCCAAACAAGTTTGAAAACCAAACGCAAAAGCGTAACGTTTGAAGAGTTCAAACAGCCATACTGAGGAGTAGAGGAGGTGTTACAATGTATGCAAGGATTTTAGAGCTGCAGTGGGTGGTATGGGCATTCCTCACAGTGAGCACGTTACGGCTGGCAGTTTCTCAGGTGGTGGGGATGAGCATGGAGAAATGGGCTGAGAATCACTGGTTTGAGATATTTGCATTTTAAGATTCTTAAAGACAGAAAACACTGTACAAAAATACCCAAATCTAAATAGAACTTATGTAATTATAAATATATAGACAGACACAAATACACATATAACACACACACATGCATATTACACACACACACACACACTAAATGATAAGATAAACTGATCTGTATTTCACGGATTAGAAACTAGAACCCTTGGGCTGGCCTGGACCATGTCCATGACAGCCACCCAGAAGAGACAACCTTACCACTCACACTTACCCTGGAAAAGGGATTTGGGTTGACAGCAACTTAACACTGGCTTTTGCTTTGTTCTCAAGGGAGATATGCAAAGATATCGTATCTTCTGGCTGGCACTTTACTTCACTGGATGCACTGAGCCTGGTCCTGGTACAGTGACCCTAGAGTCTCAGGGAGCAGGACGGGACCCAGGCGGGGCTCCCAGACCAGGAGCTGCGCTCTGCCCATGGGTGAGCTGGCTTGCATCCTACCACACGTATCCTGCCCCCAGTGAGCTGGGTGGAAATACGAGCTGTAGGCTGCCCCACCCCTGGCCTCACATCGTCCATCACCGTTAAAGAAAATATACAGTCCAACTCTCTATGTGTCTCTACAACAGTGCTGTGTACTATTATGTACTATTTCTTGGCTTTCACTTTGAGTTTCATTTTCATCCAAAATGGGGCTGCAAGTAACTTCTAATTTGAATGAGGATGAAAACAAATTTTTCGTTTACTGAATCAGTGATCTGAATGAGTCTGTCAAGGTGACTAGCCCCCCAAACACAAGGAAGACGGAAGACAGGACAGTAAGGCTCTTCTTGGGTTGGGTTTGTAATCAGATATCATTTGACTCAAATTTGGATTTCTAGATGAGGAGCTAAGGCTCGTCTACTTAAGGAAAATAAGCCAGGTAAATGAGGCTAGAACAAGCTAGTTTTATATGAAACAGATAAAGCCAATTATTTTTTAGGATTCTACCCCCGCAACTGCTGAGATGTTAATACATCTCATCACAGGCAATTACCATTAATAGCTGTTTTTAGAAAGAGCTATGAGTTTGTTTGATTGGTTTTATAAAAAGGCTTTCCTATAAGTGTGGCAACTATTCTTTTAATTTTGAAGTCGTTTAAAATAAAAGGTTTTGATAACAGCACTTGTGTTGGACCATCTTAGGTTCAAATAAAAATATTCACATAAGTTTATCTAACATGATTATATTCCAGGCCTCTAGTCAGTAAAGCAATTGACTTACAAAGATTGGTGACAAAACAAAAAAATTCCCTGGACGTTCATGACAGAACAGACCCCTGGGACACACTGGACGCTTTGGGCCAGGAGGCAGGCGTGCTGGGGCTAGCCTGAAGAACCTACAGTCTGAAGCAGGACTCAAATGTCTGACCCCACAGGGCTCTGCTGGGGCTGTGCACCAGTGAAGGCGGCCACATTCTTCCCACCGCTCCTTGACACGCCCCCGTCCATCCTTCCTGGTGTCTCCAGCTTGGAGTGTACGTGTGGTCTAAGCCCCCAGTTCTAGTGCACATTCTGGCCTCTCTTTCACATCTCCAAGTGACAACCACCAAATTTAGGAGATGGAAAACACCAAGGACGAGGCTTTCTCATTCCTCCCTCTCCCTGCTTCAGTGGGGCTCTGACCACGTGCCGCCCTTAAACATTCTCAATGAGATATATTCTCGTCATGTGTTCTCATCAATGGACACAGCCAGGAAAAGGCAAAAACAAAACCCCCCCCCAAAAAAAAACCCCCAACAACAACAAACTCCTCAAATCACAAAGAATTATACGCTTTCCCATAGGTTCTCTTTTCTCCTGTGTAGTGTTAGTGAAGGGGTGGAAGAGGTCACGCAGACTTGGGGGATGATGGCTTCCATATCTGGACAGTTGTATATGTGTTCTGTGTTTTCACACTTGGGGCAGGAAAGGCTATTTAGTGCTGAAAGGCAGTGCTGCATTTTCGAAAGAGCCCAGATGCATGACGGGAGGCAGAAAAGGAGCGCTGAGGTCCCGCCCACCCCAAGGTCAGGGCCCCCAGCCCAAGCCCGCTGTACCTGACAGCAGCAGCCAGAGCTCTCCCCGCATGCTCTCCGGTATACCCTTCAACACCAGCTCCCGCGTTTTTTCTGTGCGATACATGCAGATCCCTTGTCCGTACTCAGCAAAGTGAATTTTCCAAGCTTGCTCCTTCAAAAACTCTTTGGCCTGAAAGGAATAAGTGAAACATTACTACGTCCCCAAGTACTTTGAGGATGGAAAGGGGAAGTTGGGCAGAAAGGCAGCATATCTCCCCTACTGAATAGAGTTGTTATGTTCTGGACAGAGCTCTGGGGAACAAAGAACTCAGATTTTCCGCAGTCCTTCCTTCATTTGACATGTGAACCTAATTTGAAGGCTGGGGTTCTCCTTTGAAGCTTTCTGGCCCTGAATCAGAATTCCATTTACCTGAAATGGGTCAGTAGAACGTGAATTTATGGCTTTATGTAGTGAAAATGACTTGGTGTTTTTTTTCAAATGTGCACTGAGAAATTATGTACTTACTTGTTAGCTGACTCGAACAATAGCTAAAAACAAGACAAAAGCCCACATGGAGCCCTGCATCAGCAGGGAGTCTGCTTCTCCCTCTCTACCTGCCTCTCCCCCAGCTCATGGTCTCTCTCAAATAAATAAATAAAATCTTTGATAAGAAAAAAAAAGACAAAATGTCACCTGTACGCTGTATAACTCATTTCCTTCTGTGAAGCCATTCTAAAATCCAATGAGAGATTTAGATAAAAGTCTATTTTGCTTATAGGAAAATATTTATTTACACAGATATTTATGAGTTAACTTTGATTAAAAAACCTTTTTAAATGTTATTGTTCTAGGGGGACCTGGGTGGCTCAGCCGTTAAGTGTCTGACTTCAGCTCTGGTCATGATCCCGGGGTCCTGGGATCAAACCCCGCATTGGGCTCCCTGCTGCTTGGGGGAGCCTGCTTCTCCCTCTCCCACTCCCCCTGCTGTGTTCCCTCTCTCACTGTCTCTCTCTATCCAATAAGATAAATCAATCACTGTGATTGTTCTAATAAATTTTCAGGCAAGAGCAGGAGACACCCACCAGTTTCGGGTTGAATTCCTCTGGGGACCGCCGCCGGTACATGGTCATCAGGGTCTGTGTGGCCGTGGGGACACTGTTGCCATTCAGATTAAACTGGCGCTCTCCGTCGGCATCAGAGCTCGTGCTTCTCTGGGGACTGGAGGAGACGAGGCTGCTAGGCCGAGAACATACCTGCCGACACACAGAGGAACAGACGCTGAAACAGCACAGGCCACACAACCCACTTCTTCAGTGTCCTCTGCACAGATCCAGTAGCTGCATCATGGTGCCCAACAGGTCTCTCACTACGTGAAAACACAGGAGGAAG